CCACGTACAAATAATATGAAAAAAAGTTTTATGTACGATGGTGCATTCCTTTGGAATTCAATTCCAAGAGAAATTAGGGGAAGTACATCCCTTAATTTATTTAAAAAGAAAATTGCTACCTGCATTGACATTTAAAAAGCGCAATAAAGTACGTGCATGTATATAGAGGATTTCCTGTAAATAGCCTAACTACCTTCTTAATTTAGCTCATTGTAAATAAGTAGATTGTGTTCTTGTTAAACGTACTTTTATATAGTTATGTAAAGATATTTTGCACACGTCCCCCGTGGAAATCAGCTTAAGTTGACGGGGTCAACGTGTTTAAATAAAGTTTTTCTATCTATCTATCTATCTTCTAAATATCCGTAGTTGCTGGAAATTTCTTTGGTTTTAGTGAACGGACTATTACTACGTTCTGATTAACGTTTGAAGAAGGGGAGTATTACATGCATATGTACAACTAAAGACTGCAAGACTATTTATTGCGCAAAATTTGAAAAATATATTGTCGATTTTAGGTTTTGATTTCTTCAAAGTCCGGTTTCCGTATTTATATTATTTCCCAGTTATGTGTCTAGAATTTGCAAAATTGGGTGTGGGATATGCAAGAAATGGACATGCATGTTGGACAACTAATTATGCAAGTTCGTTTCCGATGTATTAAAGTACTGAAGAAAAGTGTTGAAGTGCGGAACATAAACTCGCAACTTGTAGTGTACGTGTTTTGCTATATTAGTAACACACTGCAAATTATGAGTTTTATGTTCAGTGTTTAGTTCAGTAGTTCTTCAATACTTTTATAAAAAACTTGCGGAAGTTGGCTTTGTAAGATCCTCCTTCCAAATTTAGAAACGTAATTCGGGATATTCACAACAAACGAACAAACATCAGAACTGCCCATAAGTAGAACCTTTTCTTTCACTACTCTGTCTAAATGGAATGATCAAAAACCTTTATCAATAGGAGTGACAACCTCGTACCATGCAGGGTCCTTCCTCTTGGGAAGAAAAGACCCTGGTTGACGCTGGTCACGTAATCTGCTAAATTTAAAATCTAGCAGATTTCTTATTAACTATTTTGGATTCCTTTACGACAATCATACAAAATGAAAATTATAAATTAAACTATAACAATCATCCAAATATTTATTGACCTCATCTTGGATTTCTAATTAAAAATCTGTTAAAGGCTCTCCATTTACTGTTCTAGAACATTTGGAACACTGTTCTGAAACGATATGAAATGGAGTGCACACGGTGTTCTGGAACAGTGTTTAGTTTATTATATACGCGTGCAACCATAAATTACTATATATATATTCATTAGTTATTTGCATAATAAATCGTATAATGATTTGCTGTTATTTGTATATCTAAGTATGCTTTTGCAACGCTTTTACTTGTTGATTTTGCCAAACCCTGGTGTTCAAATAGCATATAATAAGTATATGTCGATATATAGCGGTTAACCCTTCAAAATAACACTCTCTGCAGTGTCCATTGGATACACAAAATCTGTCGCCTCCATTTCCAATCACGTGAAAATGGGCAGGTCACGTGTGCTGTTCTATCTGCTCCTACTTTGAAGTTGGGGCAGCCAGAACAGTTCCGAACCGTCATGTGATTGGTCCCAAAATCCGGAGTACTCCGAACAGTAAAATGACTGCTCATGCTAGCAGATCTCGTGACCAGCGCCTACCAGGATCTTTTCTCCGCCGTCAAGAGGAACGATCCTTGGTACAAGATTGTAGGGGTGAATATATAAAATACCGCAACATGGCTCCTCACAGATTCAAAATACTTGCTTATGCTTTTCCCGATTGGCCTGGTAAAATCCTAAAAAAGTGCTGGCAAAATTTGCTAAAAAGTGCTCAAAAAGCTAAGTGCGCAAAATCTCAAAATAGTGCTCAAAAAGTGCTAAAATTGTGAACAGCTACCTCTAAGATTTTCGTAAAATTTTTAAAATCAGCATTTTTTAAAATTTGTTTCCACGTCTTTCTCCATATGTGGAACAAACTTCCGTATATGGAGTTGTTTACGACAAAAAAAGAGAACGCGAACAAGTCAGCGTTCTAATTTTTTAACCGTAATGTCATATGCAGCTGTACGGCTTTTCTTTTGGAGTTTTACCTAAATTATATATAGAATAATAGTATAATACCTGTCAATTTTTAAACCTTACACCGAATTGTATATGTTTAGTTAATACGAATCGAATTCTATAATTGCTGACTTATTGTTTCTCGAAATTCGCTCGAAATGTGAAATATTGCTCAACTGTGCCCAAAGTGCGAAGAAGTGCTCAAGGTTTCTCGACATGCAAAATAGTGCTCCAAACAGGGATGTCGGAAGTTGCTGAGGGCAAGGGGTGCGATTTGCTATCAAAAGGGCACATTTTTTAGAAAAGGGAGAAACAAAAATGAAAGGGCACTTGCCTACTTATAACCTAATTTAAAATCAAACACAAGCAATAAAGCAACCTTTTATTAATTTCAAACATTAAAATTATAAAATAAGGCACACATAATTAGCAGAAACTGTTTTGCTTTCTCTTCTACTAAAGAAAGGTCGTTTACTAAGTTATGAAACTAAATCGTTTATTGTTTATTTAAAGTGCCTATGACTATATCATGCATGATTGATGTAATTTATTATTTGTAATCATTGGTATGTTTTATGAAGAAATGCAACATATCTTTAAAAGAAAATATTCCATCTTCACAGGATTATCAGGCCTCAAATTTACCGGATATGACATCAAACTGGGAATTGAAAATTAGATTTCTTTTGTTTCTAGCGTATAAAATTCCCGATTTGATGTCATATCCGGTAACTTTGAGGGCTGATAACACCATGAAGATGGAATATTTCTCATAAAGAAATATTGCTTTTCCGTTCGTAAAATGCACCAAAGATAAAATATATTTAAACCAAAAAGTTATGAATACAAAAGGCATGGGGTGCACTTGCACCCACTGCACCCGTGGTTCCGGCATCCCTGGCTCCAAACTAAAAAAAAATGCTCAAAAAGTGCTCAGCGCAATCAGGAAAGGCCTACTTCTAATATAAGTTACTGAAATCAAAACCTTTCAGAATTATTTTATACACGATTTAGCTCCGGGTGGTCCTCCGTTGAACATCAAAACCACATCAAGGAGTACATCATCATTGTCTTTCATCTGGGACCCTCCACAGAAAACTAAACAAAATGGCGTCATTATCAGTTATACAGCGTGTGTTTCACATTCACAGAATGGTCCTTGCTTTCAGACATTTATCACAAGTGAAAGAGAGTGGCTTGTCGGAAATTTGAATGTGTCAACAAAATATTATATTCGTGTTCTAGCAAGTACTAAAGTTGGTAATGGAAACTTCAGTGAAAGTAAAGGATATTTTACGAATGGACGTAAGTTCAACATGTATATATCGAGATTTTGTTTTGAATTTCATACTTACTATTTGGTTTATTTAAATCATTAAATCAATTTATTGGACCATGTCGAAGCCGTAGAGTGCGAACGGGACTCAAAGTCCCATGCGAGGCACTCCTCCGTTACAAACTGTAAAGATTTCTTAAATAATTACAATAATTGCTATGAAAAAACATACATTGAGCACTAACTAATTCTTAAATCCGCACGCAAGTTACAATAATGGTGCTTGATCGAATAGGAGTACAGTACGTTTACACACAAACGATCAGTCGGCCGGTTTTAGGTATTGCCGCCGAATGTTAAAATGACAAATAAAGTTATATCAGTTGACAACATACCCTGGATTCCAGAGCCTTCGACAGTAAATAATAAATTGAAATGTCGCGAAGGCTCTGGTTCAAGGGGGCGATTCTTTGATTAAGCCGCGCCAATCACAAAACAGAATTAGTGGTTTTAGTACAGAATCTGTACTAAAACCACTAATTCTGTTTTGTGATTGGCGCGGCTTAATCAAAAAATCGCCCCATTGAACCAGAGCCTTCGCGACATTTCAATTTATTATTTACTGTCGAAGGCTCTGGAATCCAGGGTATTGACAACACAGAGTAGACAGATATACAGAACTACAACTAATACACCCACCTTCTTGTGCGCGTGCTCGGCGAGTTACTAGATGCATGCATCCCATTGGATGGCGGCTCGCTTTAACCGATAATTGTTATGCCATTTCAGTGATATCAAACCATAGCACCTCGTTTATATATTTCTACAACGTCTGATCCGATTTAGAGGAAAGAACATATGGATGTTTTATGTGAAACTCTGTCTCAATGTTAATTTCTTGTAAACTAGTGTCTGCCCTCTATCTTTAGGAGTCTATATAGTAATTAGATCCTTTTTTCACAATTAATTATTACAGATCCCAAAATTATATTTTATACTTTTCCTCATAGCGTTGGTACCAGACAAACCGACAAATCTCGCCGTCAGTAACATCACATCTAAAAGTGCTGAAATATCGTGGCTAGATCCTAAAACTCAAGGGCGATATCGTGTTTCACGCTTTTGGATTAAATTGAGGAAAGAAAACGCTATAATCCTAAGCATTCGAACAAGAAAAGTAAACGAATATGAAATTGACAATCTAATTTCGTATACCAGATATCAAATATCTGTAGCTGCTGGAAGTCGTCTTGGTTTTGGTACAGAAACTGTTATTTCATTCTTAACATCAGAACAAGGTGAGTGTACATATAGGTGAGTGCACATATAGGGGTGTTACGAAGCATCCGGTGTTTCACTGGGGGAGGGGGTTAGGGAGGGGGTTAGGTAGGGCAAAGCCCAGACAAACACGATTTTGGGTGGTGGAGCTAGGGGAATGTTCCCCCTCAAAATGTTGACTCGAAGTTCTGTAGTTCTGGCAAAGATTTGTTTTACCCAACAACTCACAAAACCTGTTTCAAAACATACTAACTGGGGATCATGAATATTCAATATATAACATTAACCTTTAATTTGCATTTCAGGCAACAAAGAACATTAGGCTTTCCCGCCTTAATTTCTTTTGGGGAGCTTCGCTGACCCCAGTTTTACCTTCTGTCCCACCTCCCCAGCACGTAAGCAATTTCTGAGGAAAATAGGAGGGTCTGGGGGTCCTCTCCCAGGGAAAAGTTATATTTTTATGCTCAATGACAGCTTTTCTGGCATTTTCTGGAGCATCAACAAGGAAAACGAGTAAATGAGAAGACTGTTTTAAGGTTATATTTTTGTTAGTTTGGTGATTGCACATTTGTGTTTTAAGAACTGTACGAATGTATTTAGAACTGCACATTTTGTGTAGAACAGCCCGTTATTAAATAAACCCTGGTTATACCCTGATCGTACTGCGAATATTCGACAAGAATATATATTGCTATATTCCTTTGACAAATCTCATGTTACTGTGTTTTCGCTCGTTACTCTGGTTTATGTAGAGAAATGTCATCTTCGAAAAAATGTACATTCGCTACGAAACGTTTTCTAACTAACTTTTATCTACAAAAGTGAAAAAGTCACAAATGTCTATTTAAGATACATAAAATCAGAGGCGTAGCCAGGATTTTTGTTCATGCAGGGGGGGGGCAGCAAAAACCTAGAAAGGGCCAGGCTTTACTTACAGTATTTTGATAGAATGAATTTTCTCAGGGGGGCCCCCGGCCCCCACCCTGGCTACGCCTTTGCGATAAAATTTAAATAAAACTTTAATGTTATATACACATTTCAGCTCCAAGCGGTCCTCCATTGAACATCAAAACCACATCAAGAAGTTCATCATCATTGTTTTTCATCTGGGATCCTCCTGAGAAAAGTAAACAAAATGGCGTCATTACCAGTTACACAGCGTGTGTTTCACATTCACAAAATGGTCGCTGCTTTCATACATTTATTACAAGTGAAACAGAGTGGTTTGTCGGGAATTTGAATGCGTCAACAAAATATTATGTTTGTGTTCTTGCGAGTACTAAAGTTGGTCATGGAAACTTCAGTAACAGTAAAAGATATTTTACAAATGAAAGTAAGTAAACATATATTTAAGAAGTATTCTGTTCAGAATTTTACTAATGCATATACTTGAACCATTTGGTGTATTTTGTCCACCGTGACTTTTATGCCGTTAAGTGTTTCTTAAAATCAGTTTCCATTTGGTCGATACTGTCTAATAATTAAAGAAGAAAATTGATCACTTTGTTTAATCAATATATATCTGAAAATCGAAAACAATTTCGTCCTAATTTACACCAACTTAGTTCTAGCTTCGATTATCTCTGCTAGAACGAACTATAATCTCCCAAGTAAATTGTACATTTGAAGTAATATACAGATTTATAAATCGTCTATTCCTTCATTATATAATACGCGAACACCCATTTGCATTCAGCAGAGAAAAGACAAGATACATTCAAACTATTTACTTGGCTGAATCAGTATACGTATTGTAAAAACAATTTTTTTAAAAAAACCTAAATTATAGTCTAAGACAACTAAATTTGTTGAATGTATTTGTTAATTATTGTTTAAAAAAATCCATTTGCTTTTCATTGTGGAAACATTGTGACAACGCCAAAACATTTCTGCAGTATCGTTAAAATTTGAACTGAAAACTTACACAGAACCCTATACAGATAAAAGGCAATGAATTTTTTATTTTGATTTATACATCCACACTTTCCTACAGAAGCAGTAGAGAAGGCCATAGCAGAAACATCAAGTACACTTACATTTTCAATAAAAGCTCCAACGACAACGTTTGTGTAAGTATATTTAACTTTCTGATCGCATTGGAACTAAATACTCCGCTTTACCTATGACATACAGTATTGTTCGGTTGTAAAGAAGGCAAAGTTTGATTTATAGATATTTCTACGTGGTGGCTCTAAAATTAAGAGACGGCATAGAGCCTGCTTCATCTGACAGTTACGAGAACAATGAGTTAGTGACGTATGCTGATGCAGAAAAGTCAACCAACCCAAAACCTTATATTGCTGCAGTAGTTACATCCAGCGGCATTGATGGAAACACGTTTATACTTGGTGATGGCAGTAATACAAATGATCCAGCTTCACAGAAACGTGGACAAACTACGAGTGATTATTTTAATGGTCCGCTGGAGCCTACAAGCAGTTATAGTATTTTTCAAAGGATAACTATCAATAAAAAGGTATGGTATTCGAAACACTAAACCATCAGTTGAGCACACTGATCCAAAAGTTGCGCCTGGATTGGGCATCTCTGTGCTGTCTATAAACGAAGTCACTGTCTCTGTATTGGTGTAACCACCACAAATTTAAACTGGTATTGTTGATATGTATAGAAGACGACCAAAAAGGAACGCAATTAAGTACCTCGCATGATTCAGTCAACAGACTATGACGTTATCTGTGTAAGTAATAGGCAATAATTTATTTATCTTTTAACACAGATGTGTTAAAAGATAAATAAATTATTGCCTTGTTTATTATAGGGTGATTATTGCTCCACAGACTGGAGTCCCGCTTCAGAAACAAGTAAATATTCAGGTACGTATACATCTTCCAAATTCGTAAGCAGTGGCGGCGAAACGAGGGGGTGGCTAGGGTTGCTATGGCCCCCAAAAATAAATTGGGAGGGTTAAGCCCAATCTAAAAATGGATAAAATTGGAATCTTTTGGTATATATATAAAAATTGGGCAAATTTAGGGCGAAATTCAGGAAAGATGAAAGAAAACCGACATGTGTGTTAAAATACTAAGTAGGAAATATGTAAGGTCTGCAAAGGTTTTGGGCTCTCCGGCCACCACCCCCCCCCCTTACCCACCCCCCTCCCCACCCCCCAACCAACATAAACTCAGGCAAGAACATAACATAATGACTTATCTTTAGTTCCAGCCCATTATATGTAGACAATGGTTTAGCCTTGATGAAATC